AGTCAATGGAATCAATTTATTTTAGTTCCTTTAACTCCATATGAGACTGACTTTTATGGCTACAATATGATAAACCACATATCATGTTTCTATCAACCTTATAAAAGTAAAAACCACATTTCATAAAACAGTATTGTTCTAAAAAGGAGTATCTATCCAGTTCTCAGATCATAAACATCAGCACCATTATAAACATCAAAATTGAATACTTAAAAATGGTTTGCAGCACTATAAGCACATCTCTATTTACACATTTAATAGTGCCATGTATCGACGACATATGTAGATGGAAGGTCAGCGTGAACTCTCAGGAAAGGAATAAAGATCAGTGTCTAGCCTGGCCTTAGCTTTCGTAGCAAGCAAAAATTCATGTGTGACTTACATGTATCAAATTTTAAACCCAGCACGTATCTGCCACGAGAAGACATGTGCTCAAGGGAATGGGGTGTAACGTTTGTATTCCTTAGGCAAAGCATAATAAAGAAAACAAATTGTCCTCAAACACAGCCTGGCTAATGCCACACTGTAGGCTTTGTCTTTATTGCCGTTTTAAACACGGGACCACACACTGCTCCTTTCTGTGAAAGACTACCTTCCTAGGTTATAGGGGGAAGCCAGGCAAGTTGTTCACTATTTGAAAGTGGCACAGAATGAGAAATGAGAGGAGCAGAAGCATTTTACAAATATACGCCCAACCCTGGAAAAGAACCAGAATAAAATAGATCTGTGTAAAGGACAATTGGAAAACAGGTGGATCTCTAAAACTAGGAAGGCCCAAACTAAAAGGACTATTTTGAAAATGCGAAATTTTATTGAATATTTGTAATGATTTGTGGTCATCAGGACAAAAGTGAAAGATTAATCATTTGGATATCCTAATAATAGCTGATACTGTAGAGTGAATCATTATTTAGGTCCCTTTCATCAGCATTTTAGAATTTTCCAGAAAGTTAAACACCTATACAGAGTTATATTGATTATAAATTTTAAATGTTGTCTAACAGAGCATAGATTATATTCATACTTTTTTTCTTTTGGTTTTTTGAGACAGGGTTTCTCTGTGTAGCTTTGGTGCCTGTCCTGGAACTAGCTCTTATAGACCAGGCTGGCCTCAAACTCACAGAGATCTGCCTGTCTCTGCCTCCCGAGTCCTGGGATTAAAGATGTGTACCACCACAGACGGACCATACTTTGGTCACATAAAGAGAACTGGTATTTCAGTTTTCAGAACTCAGTATCTTTGGCTAAATATTCCTTTTAGCAAAGAAATTATTAGATAAGAATATTTTGTATAATTTTCAGAGCTTAAAATACTGTGATCTCAGTCAAATATTCTCATGTTAAAAAAATTCTTGGGGATAAAATTCTGCTGGTTACTCTTAAGTTGTAATGGGTATATCACAATTAAAGGTGTATTATTCAGTGTGGTTACTTCTTCTAGAAACAAAGTTAATTTCTATGGAACAAACCCAGAGAGGGTAAAAACATGAGAGTCAGTCGTTGGAGGGGGTAGAATTGCAAAGGCAGAAAACACTATTGAAAGCCACAGAGATAATAAACACACACCAATTAAGCGCAGACTCATTGTAGATCCAACAGTGTCTTTTTATTCCTAACCTTACAGCAAAGGCATTTAGATTTTTAAAAAACCTCAACTCTTTTTTTTAAATATTTATTTAATTATTAATTATGTATACAATATTCTGTCTGTATGTCTGCAGGCCAGAAGAGGGCACCAGATGTCATTACAGATGATTGTGAGCCACCATGTGGTTGCCGGGAATTGAACTCAGGACCTTTGGAAGAGCAGGCAATGCTCTTAACCACTGAGCCATCTCTCCAGCCCACAAGACCTCAGCTCTTAAGCTGGGCATAGTGGAGCACATGTGGAAGGCCAGCACTTGGGAGGCTGAGTTGGAGCAGCACTAATCTTAAGGCCAGCCTGGGCTACATGAAACTGTACCTCCAAAGCAAACAATCAGGAGCTGGGTGGATGGCTCATCAGTTAAGAGCTCTTGTTTCTCTTGCAGAATACCTGGGTTCAGCTTCCAGCACCCACATGATGGCTCATAGGTTATCTGTAACTCCAGTTCTAGGGGATCCAATGCCCTCTTTTGGCCTTTGCAAGCTCCAGGCACATACAATGTACACACATAGGCACAAGGGCAAAACATCCATACACACATAAAATAAATCTCAAAAAAACCCTGTATCTTTTTCTCTGAAGCTAAAATAGCAAATGAATTATATTTAGAGCTACAGTTTCAAACTGGTTCAGAACTAGAAGTCATGTATTGTCAAAGTGGATTCCTACTAGAGACAGACATCACTATACAAGAGATCGGTTGGATGTGCTATCAGGAGATTAAACTACTTCATAGTTGAAAACTGAAAATATCATAAAGGTGGTATTCTATGTTATCACATAAGGGAAATAGTACTCTTTTGGCCTATATATTAATTCCAGGGCCACACAACTAAATGTGTAGTTGGGACAGTGTCAACCTGAGACCTGTAACTATAAGCCCCATACTCATTGCCGTACTATTCCTTGAAGGAACAAATACACCAAAAAAATCACTTACACTGAAGCATCATTCTAGGGAATCATAGTGTTCTTGCAGAGGACCCAGGTTTGGTTCCCAGCACCCACATGTTGGCTCACAACCACCTGTAACTCCAGATACAGGTGATCAGACGTCCTCTTCGTGGGCACCAGGAATGCATGTGGTATGCATATATACATGCAGGCAAAACATACACGCAAGCACAACACTCAAACATAAAATAAAAATAAATACAAAATGGTTTTCTGCCTTGCCATTTTCAATAGCCACACAGTGGCTATAACAACCATAACATTCTTCCCAACTTTTCAGCTTCTATCTACTCTATTAAAATTACTTCTCCAAAATAGAAAATTCCTTTCTTGATTTTTTTTCTTTTTTGAGACAGGGTCTCACTATGTAGCTCTGGCTGTCCCAGAACTCACTGTGTAGACCAGGCTGGCTTCCAACTTGAACATCTGCCTACCTCAGCGACCAGATGCTGGGATTAAAGACCTGCACTACCACGCCCCGCTGCTTAATTCTTTTCATGAACACACCTAGTCAGCAGCATGTTTCTTGCTTGCAGACTTAAATTTACTGTAGCTCATCATCTGAGTCTAGTCCTATAACTCAATGCGAAATATTTGATTTGGAGAAGGCTGTTATTTAAAAACTTTTTTACATGATAGTGTTGTAAACCTAAGCCTGTGTCTTTCTTTTATAAAAATTATGTTTAATTGATACTTAAGTGTTCCTCAGAGGTTTCCTGGTTCTGTACTAAGTAAGTTATTTGTATCTTAAGGTTATTTGTAACCTAATTTTGAGGGTTCTGAATGCTTATTATTTTGAGGTTTGGGAGGAGAGGCCTCACGCCACTTAGGTTTAGTTTCCAGTTGCTAATCTTGCCTCGGCCTTGAGTGCTAGGAGTACAGGTGTGTGCTGCCACACCTGGCTGCTAAGTGTTGATTAGAAGCACTGTTTCCTAGATTCTGAATTAACTGCCACAGGTCAAATTATCTTTAAAATGAAAAGGAAAAAAAAAGCTGAGTATGGTAGTGTATACCTTTAGTCCCAGCACTGAGGAGGCAGAGGTAGGGAGTTATCTGAGTTCAGAGCCATCTTGGTCTAAACAGTGAGTTCCAGGACAGCCAGGGATATGTAATGAGAACCTATTAAAAGCAAACAAACAAGCCCCCAAAACAGAAATAAGTAAAATAAAATGAAAAAACAATTTGTATATACTACAGGCTACTTGATGATTTAATGAGATACCTATACAAGGGAAGAATGCTGTCTAAATTTAAAGCATTTTGTGTGTACAATGAGTTTGAAATTATGCAGTTTCACAAGTCAGATGCAATAATGTAGGCCTAGTATTAAAGGCCAATAAAAAAGAAGCTCAAAAGCCCTTGAATTTCACATGTGTCCAGCATGCTTACTCTGGCCGGACCACCTTCACTTCTTGGACAGGCTGAATTTCCTGACCGGGCCCCTCTCTCCCTCTTTGACTACTTAAGATAGGAACAGCCTTGGAAATATAGCATCTTTCCTCAGCTCTGAGACTCAAAACGCGAGAAGCCCATTCCTACAAACCTCCCTTAGCAAATCGAGCAAATCCATTCTAGATCCAAGTGAATGCGGGGGCAATAAGCAGACAGATGAGGGACAGACACTGGCAAAAGCAAACAATAAAGTCAGCTGCCTTCTTAACAATCAGCAGATAAAACGGGGTTGTTTGCACAATACCAGAGAATAATGCAATCTAGGCTGAAAGGAATCTTAGAGGCTATAAAACTTAATGTCTTTTGATTTTCATGATTCTGATGATTTGTCAAGATTCTGTTTTGACCAAATGATTTTAAATATATACATTTTTTGGCATTGATCGGGTTTCCACAAGGTAATGGATTGGTATTGGGATTTCTTGGACTTTACAAGCTCCTCTCTCACCACAAACTGCTCTATCAAATGGCCTTGCTGCGCACAGTCCTGCAAACTGGGAGTTTACAGTCGGGTGTCAGGCTATCCCTCAGGATCTCCTTGATGTATCATCGGTTCTCTTAAGTGCAGGGCGGATTAGTGCGAGGAGAGGCACTTGTTATGCTTTTGCTCATTAAAAAGTTGCAACGACACAGGTAAGTTCCGAGTGGGCAAGAAGGCAATTGAGGGGGCCACTGTGCCAGTGGCTGGAGCGCACAGCAATCACTCGGAAAGCCCGGGTGAAGGTCTCCAACTCTGAGCCGGATTCATTTCACCCAGCCCGCAGTGGGTGGGCTCAGAGCGGCTAGCAGCGAGGGGTTATGGTTGCGGCCCCAAAGAAAGCGGTGACCAGGTGACAGAATCAGGCCACCTTGGCTGCCACCCGCCGTCACCTAACCCGAAAGGCAGCCCGGAATGTCCGCGGCGCGCCAGGCGCATCAAGCACACTGCCCGTCGGGCCGAGTCCCCCACCTGTTGGCACGCTCCCCCGAGCTAGGCTTTGGACACTGTCCACGGACAGGGAATGTGACAGACGATCATAAATATGCAGGACAGATGCAGCCAAGACAGCAGAGCCACCGGGCCGGCGCCGGCGGGAGCCGCGGAGCTGGAGCCCGGCCTCAGTCGCCG